GAATCTTTGTGATGTTCCACTCTGTATATACCACTAATGCCTAGAATCTTTGTGGTGTTCCACTCGGTATATACCACTAATGCCTAGAATCTTTGTGATGTTCCACTCTGTTTATACCACTAATGCCTAGAATTTTTGTGGTTTTCCACTCAGTATATAACACTAATGCCTAGAATCTTTGTGGTGTTCCACTCATATATACCACTGTCGCCTAAAATCCTTGTGGTGTTCCACTCAGTATATAACACTAATGCCTAGAATCTTTGTGGTGTTCCACTCGGTATATGTCACTATCGCCTAGAATCTTTGTGGTGTTCAACACTATCACCTAGAATCTTTATGATGTTCCACTCTGTATATACCACTAATGCCTAGAATCTATGTGGTGTTCCACTCAGTATATGTCACTAATGCCTAGAATCTTTGTGGTGTTCCACTCTGTATATACCACTAATGCCTAGAATCTTTGTGGTATTCCACTCAGTATATACCACTCATGCCTAGAATCTTTGTGATGTTCCACTCTGTATATACCACTAATGCCTAGAATCTTTGTGATGTTCCACTCAGTATATACCACTAATGCCTAGAATCTTTGTGGTATTCCACTCAGTATATACCACTCATGCCTAGAATCTTTGTGTTGTTCCACTCAGTATATACCACTAATGCCTAGAATCTTTATGATGTTCCACTCTGTATATACCACTAATGCCTAGAATCTATGTGGTGTTCCACTCAGTATATGTCACTAATGCCTAGAATCTTTGTGATGTTCCACTCTGTATATACCACTAATGCCTAGAATTTTTGTGGTATTCCACTCAGTATATACCACTAATGCCTAGAATCTTTGTGTTGTTCCACTCAGTATATACCACTAATGCCTAGAATCTTTGTGATGTTCCACTCTGTATATACCACTAATGCCTAGAATCTTTGTGGTATTCCACTCAGTATATACCACTAATGCATAGAATCTTTGTGTTGTTCCACTCAGTATATACCACTAATGCCTAGAATCTTTGTGGTGTTCCTCTCAGTATATACTACTAATGCCTAGAATCTTTGTGATGTTCCACTCTGTATATACCACTAATGCCTAGAATCTTTGTGGTATTGTACTCAGTATATACCACTAATGGCTAGAACCTTTATGATGTTTCACTCTGTATATACCACTCATGCCTAGAATCTTTGTGATGTTCCACTCAGTATATACCACTAATGCCTAGAATCTTTGTGGTATTCCACAAAGTATATACCACTCATGCCTAGAATCTTTGTGATGTTCCACTCAGTATATACCACTAATGCCTAGAATCTTTATGATGTTCCACTCTGTATATACCACTAATGCCTAGAATCTATGTGGTGTTCCACTCAGTATATGTCACTAATGCCTAGAATCTTTGCGATGTTCCACTCTGTATATACCACTAATGCCTAGAATCTTTGTGGTATTCCACTCAGTATATACCACTAATGCCTAGAATCTTTATGTTTCACTCTGTATATACCACTCATGCCTAGAATCTTTGTGGTATTCCACTCAGTATATACCACTAATGCCTAGAATCTTTATGATGTTTCACTCTGTATATACCACTCATGCCTAGAATCTTTGTGATGTTCCACTCAGTATATACCACTAATGCATAGAATCTTTGTGGTATTCCACTCAGTATATACCACTAATGCCTAGAATCTTTGTGGTGTTCCACTCAGTATATACAGTGGCCC